AAATTGATTTGGAGCACATGAATTTGCACTATTACTCAAAAAATGAATGCAATTCACCAGATTTGGTGCAAACAAGCACAAAAAATGCCAAACAAAAAAGAGCAGACCGACATTGTCAGCTACTATCTGATGAGAGTCAAACAGAGCTAAAAGAAGAGCTTGCCATCACCAGTGTGTGAATGTGTGTGTGAATGGCTGAATGACTGAATGTAGTGTAAAGTGCTTTGAGGTCCTTCGGGACTAAGTAAAGCGCTATACAAATGCAGGCCATTTACCATTTAAATATACTCACAGTTGCCAGAACACCAGACAAAATACTCCACTGAGTTCATTCAGTATCACAGATGTCCATAACAAAGTCTTTATGGATGTTATCTTAAAGTTAGACATTTACTGACAAAAGCGATTTTTGTGCAATTTTGACTCTAAAAAAAATGCTTCATTTGTATTTTATTATCACCCAGTTTGGGCTTTCTGATTGCAGAATTCTTTTGTTTCTTATCTTTGCTAGTCTAATGCTGATTGCAAAGGTCATAAAGAACTTCCTATACTACTATTTTGTCCAAACAGAGCACGTGTGACAACACATGTTGATTCAAATATAAGCTGACCTTTTAACCCATGTGTGCATGTTTATGTTTGTACAGGGCAACAGGGCTGCTGTACATCATACACAAAACCCCGTGCTGTGAACATTATTCTGAGACATAGACAAAAGGTGGAGCTTTGCTGGAAGCAGGGTATTAGCGAATGGTGTAACATTGAAGCCGTGTAAGATAAAACTCTTTTGTGCTTTTCTGGCTGTGATGCTGAACTAGAGTTCCTTATATCATTTCCCCTCCGTGCCCTTGGTTTTCTTTCAAGATGACCTTATTCCCAAGTGTTTCAAATTTCCAATCCTTCAGCCTTACAACTGAAGTTGTAATGTTAACAATTTTATGTTCTGTCCGTTTTTCCTCAAGTGTGCTTAAGTGGAGACACCGGTACATATGTGTGGATCCTAAACCTCGCAAGATGCACAAACTCGTTGAACGCTTGTGGTAATGTGGACACACATCCACACACACACACACACACACACACACACACACAAGATGCACAAACCTCTTGAGTGGCCTGTAACCAGTGTTGGGCAAGTTACTTTGAAAAAGTAATTAATTATAGTTACTAGTTACTTCTTCAAA